GTCGTGTTAAGGAAATACGCCTCCAGGTGCGGTGAGATCACGTGGACGGTCGTGGTTTTTTTGGGCACAGCTTGTGGCGCTTGTGATGGATCTCCTTGGTGAAATCTCGCTAACGTCGCTTTTTACCGGTCATCCACCAAGGCCACGTTTATGTCAAGTGGTCATCCAGATGCAAACTACTGCCCATCTGTGACTTTCGAATGTGAAATTCTGTCAAACAGTAGGTAAAAGTGAACGTGGCATCTGCAACATAGGGGCTTCACATAACTGCATTGTTTTATCTACGCTGGAAGTGCAGCAAGTGACGCCAACAATCGAACCAAAGGAGTGAGAGTCATTTGTGGGGACCAAACAAAGGACATGACAATATATAAATCAGTTTCCTTGTTATCTTAAGCTCGGTAGTTTCACAAATTTCAGCCCACCAGTTTATTAGCTTAGGAATGAACTGATGACAGGCTCTTTTGGAGTAGAAAATTGTTTCGAGATGGTGAAAGCAATAAAATAAGTGCTTTGGGATACGGCCGCGTTACATGGCTTCTTTGTAGTTATGTTCGAAGAAGCACGGACAAGGACGCTGTGGTTAAGCCATACCATTAAATGTCGCAGCATCGTCAGTGAGGGATATCTAGCCGTTGTTAGAATTGTCCAGTACATTATCTCTGTTGGCGAGATATATCAATACGCCGATCACATAATGAAAGCGCATTTCAGGACCAAGGTAAGGTCAGCTTCATACAAAACTGTTACACTTCTATGTAAGAGCCCCTGTTTTTGCACATGTGTGCAAATCAGAACGTAAATTTGTTAAGGTTTTTAGCACAAGGATAGTGGTAGGTCAATTCTCGACTCGGTTGATTCATTTCAAACCTTGTGGCATTTCCCTCAGTGGTCTATACACGACCGACCCGTCGTAAGCAACAGAAACTTGCGGCCATTCATGGTGTTGGAGACAAATCCCACATCCCTACTTGATATTCGAGCGATGCACAACTGAGCCTAAGAACCACCTTTCAAATTCTTTCGGACCCTTTTGGAGGGCAAGTCGTGTAAACTAGCAGTGTGTTTGGTAATAAGCAAACTTTTTCGTTTGAAACGATAACTTCGTAAATCCAAGTGAGCATGCCATCAAATTCCTTTAGTCTTATGGCATAGAGAACCAATCACCGAGGTCCTTTTTGACCAGCGGACTAAATCACTGTTGAATTTCATTGTGAGTGGCTTACAACAGAAGATGAGTGATTTATAACGTGATTTTGGCCAGATTTGTAGCCATGCCCTTCGGGGGCATGGCACTTCGGCTGACGGCAACCCTTGGGAGCTATGTGCAAATTGTGTGGATCTGTGTGGATTCGCCAGTGCTGTAACAGTTTGCTTGGGTGTTTGCAGAGATGACACGATATTTAGTGATGTAGGACTTCGAACATTGGATCCCGTATTTATTTAACATCTCTGCACTGATTACCGCCTACTCGGTTGATCTAACTCGGCTGTTTATATGCTCGTGAGCTCTCTACCATTTGTTCTGTTCACAGTTGGGTACTTTGCGGTTTCTCCTGCTTCAGCTGCCACCCACTATGGTGTGAATTGTGAACCGTGCATAAAAACTACATCGCTTGAAGTGTTCGTCAGATCACAATCTTACCTCTAAGTGGTGCTCGAGATTTATGCTTTTCTTTCTAGTTTGTTCGTATATTATCGGTTCAGTTATTCTGATATGAGGTTCTCTGGTCGTGTGTTACATAATCAACAGCAAAGTTGTTGCATTTGTGGGCATCATACACTACCCATAAGGTGGTTAAAAACTCTCCGACAGCCCACGATCAGCTTAAGAAGAGATTCAGCTGGGTGCCAAGTGAGTCTTACATCAAAATCAACTTGACTTGCAAATGAATGCATTTGTGTTGCATTTAGTTTTATCTACATATCCTGTAGTTACGTTTACGGAAAGTAGATTCTCCAACTTTGTTCGTGTTCACTGAAATGTCACTTTTCTGTGATGTTGCTCTTGTGTAATGAAAAAAACTAATGGTGTGCTGCCCACGGTTCTAATATCGCAACAGCCAGCTGGACCAAATACCACACATGCCTGAAGTGTACTACGCGTCCCACCACTGAAAGAACGAGTTTCAAGCACAGGCCTGACTCGAGGACCCCACCACTGAAAGAACGAGTTTCAAGCACTCGAGGAAGGACGCTACGCCATATTCGGCACTTCCTTCTGATACCATCCTAAGTCCGTGATATTGAAATCGGCGACACCATTCAGCAGCACCCTGTATTCGAGGAGGATTTGATTTGGTCACCATATCAAACAAACTGTCCGTGGAACTCAGCGTCGTCCAAATTAAAAACCGAATTCTACGCAAGTGGCTTAATATACTCATTCGTAAACAAGGTCGGTATTATTGAGGGAATGAGTGAAATCTTACTTGATGAGAACTCGTGGACTTCTTCCATTTGAACAGTCCCAAGAAGCGTGAAACTTGCAGAGGGCTACCAAAATGTTTGCAGCAGCTTTTTAGGTAATGTGGCATATCACGAGGAAGACATGAAACCCCTCCATGACCATCCAGTTCTGGGAGCGAGCAAACGCATTCCCGGATCAACCACGCCGAATTGACAAACATTTTCTTAGTTTACTACAGTATCTTAAAATAAAACTCTAAATTGGAGCGGTTTTCTTGTTTATGAATGCATTTCTCTCCGGCCTAAGAAGCCGCACTTTTTTGATCTGCAAAACCAACTTCATTGGGGCGAATAGCCAAGGACCCCCTCCAACAGCGCTGGTGAATGATTGTGTTCGAAAACAGTTTGGGGTATATTAGGGACTAATTAGTCATCCAACAGCACGGACGCAGTGAATCCCAACATACCGTGGTCGATGAACCGGTTTCCATTCAGCTAAACCAATCATGGTGCACTGGGTGTAAACGAGCTTCTCTCATAGAAAGGATTTAAATGCATTCGTTCATGAAATTCCGCTAGATTGGTGTCAACCTACTCCAACATGGGTAGGCCTTGAATGAAGGTACCTTCACCGCCATCTTTTGTTCTGCAATGCGATGTTGTTACAAGTGTTCATATTGGAATAGCGCTGGTCGCCAAAATTTGTTTAAAGAACATAGTTACAAGTCCTGACTAGTGTTTGAAGACAAATTTTATCAATTTCAAGGTTTAGCACTTTTCTCCTAGAACTCAGTAGGTAACTTTAAATCAGATAACCGAGAGCCTTCTCCTTGTATCACCCAAGTGTATTTCTATAACTAAGAGCGTTTCGTGACAGCATGCCCAACGGATGTGGTGCCCGGCGTAAGGTTTCCACTCTGCTAACTTCCGTGAAGTGAATGTTCGAGCTGGACTCAAGTATGCTTGATTTCTGCACTGCCATTGCGCTTCTTCGTCAATTCCAACGCTTCCAGATTGTCTTTCTCATTCAGCAAAAAATTGTAGCCATAATCTCGCTATTCAAATCGGCTGTATGGCAACTATATTCAGCGGGCATCTGACAAGCAAAACACTAATTTACCTACGAATTTTGATGGGAGACTCACCTGCAACCTACCTAACCCTCTCATTTATGATGTTCCTAAATCTGAGCTTTCAGCAAACTTATAAGTAGTGTGTCACGTCCAAGCCATCGGACAAGTTCAGAAGTGATACATAGTTTTTCATAAGGGATCCACCAAAGCAGCTTTCATACTCAAAAATCCAGGAGGCTGCATCTCGTTTTACACCGAATCGATTTAGTACATAGCTTTGACGCGACCTTAAATGTTAAAGTGCATTTGTGCAAGCGCATATGCACATGGCTTGCAGTGACCGATTGGAGGGCATGAGTCGCATGCTTTGGCGTGGATTGTATCCCTAATCTGAGGGTATTCTGGTAAAACAGAGCAGCATAACGCTTTCAATGAATTAGTCAAATGAAATAAATGGATATATATATATATCTTCAAGTCACTGTGCAGACGAACAGTGGATGAACTGCGTAGACTTGCTACTGAATAGTGTATCCGTTCAGTCACCGGTTTACGCATCGCTTACCTCGTTGAATTGCCTGGGCATTTTTGCGATCCTACCACGCGTCTGACCATACTGTTTTTAGAAACAAAGGCTGGTTGGTGCGAAAGTCAACCACCCGGATCACAAACAAATGAGTTTTGGTTTCAGAAAGGATTTTAAACAATCCGTGTGTCTAGTAAGTAAGTAAGTAAGTAGGGAAGAAAATAATATCTTAATGTGAAGTTGCGTGTCGTTTGTGTTACGGCTGAATATCGCAGGAGCTAATCCATTGGGCTGGCTTGGATGAAATCCGAGAAATGAATAATAGATGTAGATGCGATTGAAAAAAGACCGACATCTTGTCCGATAGATGAGTTGTTATTGTCGAAAGCTTGAGATCAACAAAGAAATGTGCGTAGGACCCATGGTTTCCAACATACTTGGGCGCATGCAGTGCAGTGGGGTCACAAGTCAACTTTACTGTAGGATCGCACACAACGCCTGTGCGCAAGGGGACTGAAGATCAACTCCCTGTGACCAATTCTCTAACTGGATTGATTTTCCAGCCATCTGTATTAGTGACGAAGGTGGAATCACTTTTACTCATGCGGTGCGCATACTCGCGCGAATTGGACGGGCATACCCATCACTCTCATGTCATCCCAAAATTCACTGCTGAAATCTCAAACATACCGGGCGCACAGATAGACAGTCGCGAACAATTCTAACCCAGATCATCGGTCCTAATGATAGTTTACTGATCGTACCACCTCTTGGAGAAAGTAAGCCGTCCTGGCAGAGGGACTGAGACTCTGAATAATATTCTTTATATCGGGTCTTTTAGGTGAACTTAAAATACATAAAACGAACACTGTTCGACCAGTTTATGTCAAACACAATATCTGCTTTTGTGGAGTGGACACAGTGAACATACAACTTTCCTCCAAATTTCAAAACACCTAGCCAGCTGTGCAATTGAATAGTAGTAAACTTACCACAACGCCTGTCAGATAGTTGTGTCGATCCATAATGCGAATGATTTGTGACCTTGCGCGTCGACCACGCTGTTTCAGTCGTCGAGGCCATCTTCCATTTAGGTAGCTCATCGGACTTGGCGGCATATTGGGCTGACGGACCGGTGGTCGATAAAGGTAGGTTCGATACTGCTGGTGCTCATTTGTGGGAGTTGACTGTTGCGAAGTGCTCTCATCTGCATACGGATATTGCCATTCATAAGGTAAATGCCTTCGCATACGTATGGCATGATGAGTCCCTATTTGTGACGGAGTTAGAGAATCTTCCGAAGCCATTGTACCCTCCTCTTCCTCCTCCTCCTCGCCGTCACCATCGGCATCTTCAAAATCCAGAGTTTCGAAGGATCTTCGAACTCGTTTAATCCTATCTTCAGTTGATTCACTCCTTCCGCTGGGTGTTTCAGCTGGAGGCAAATCCACCACTCGGATGTTTGGAAAACCGAGAAACGCTGATGCGTATTCCCTGGCAACCTGAAGGTTGTCGGAACAACCAGCCCAGTAAAACCGACTGACTGTGGGTTGTCCATCAGTCATTGAGACAGATTGCCCGTTAACGGCTCCAGCAGCAGACTGACCACTGTCTTCAGATCCTCCCTCGTAAATTAAAGCACCTGGAATTAACATGGGTGAGACGGTGTGAAGAAACCAACCTGGTTCCGAAGGGTAATCGATGACTGGATAGGCATTATTTTCATCTCCGCAAGAACATGATCGGATTTTGTTTAGTGCACAGTATCGACCAATTTCGAATAGTAAAGCTGCACTAGAGAAGGCGTGTACAAGCGCTTGCTCGCGAGTTCCTGTTAAAATAGAGGAAAAATTGAAAAAAAAACATCAAAACGCATAGACCCTTCACGCACGTGTAACAAACACTTGATGAGACATAGTGGGATGATGAAGAGAGGCTGTGTAAGTCAAATCCATTTGAATGGTTATTTTTGGGCGCTTTCCTGCTCTGCGTCGATGCACACCCATATGGAGACGCTCTATTCAATGCGGACAGTTGCGTGGTATGGCAATTCCTCAGGTAGCTATATGGTTGTTGAGCCACTGAAAGCTGAAAATATCCGTTGATTTGGCAAACATGATCCCACCGTTGGGACATGTCAGGATCCCCTGAATTTCATCTTCGAAAGCTTTACCCTTGCTATATTCATGGCAAAGAAATGTTTTTACAAGGGAATGTTTCCGGAGACCACAGCAACGTCGCGCTTTTAGCGGCAATCTCCCCTTTGAAACATAAAACGAAAACTAGCTGCCAAAGTGTACAAAAAGCGTCAACTTCCTCTCCAAATTTGAAATTTATTACTTTCACAAACTCACATCAGATCTTGACACTTCATTTATACTAAGGCTCCCGTTACAATAAATTACATTACGGCGCACTTGTAGCCACAGTCATTTACTCTTCATGATTCTCGGCGCAGGTGGTGAGCAGTTACAGTCTGAATAGAGGAAATCACTGGAAACGTGCGTTTCTGATTGGGTCAATGAAATTATAATTAATTAATGTTTGTTCACATATATATCCAAATCTCCCCCTTTAACGTCATAGAAATGTTGGAGCTCTGATGTTTCAAGTTTGTCGGGGTCGTTCAGATGTAGACAATGGCACTACCCAGCCGGGATGGCCTATCATACGTTCACGACACGACTTCGTATTTTCGATACCAATCAAGTGTTACCGTTTTTAGACTGTATGGTGTATGCTCCGCTGCTTAAGTAACTATCGAACAGCCATCTTTACGAGCTTATACAAGACACATGGTAAATCCACTTCCAGAACTGTTTAAACCTTTCTGACACCCTCTGTAGCCTCATTACAGCTCACTTGAATCGGTTCTTCTGTAAGGTTTTTGGCGACTTAAAAAGATCTCGTTTCCTGCTGGAATCTTCTGGCCAAACCACACGAACGGAGTCTCAAATGGACCATTTGTTTGTAAGTGACATAAATACCCCCACCGCTTACAAACATACCTCACTTCCATCCTGTGGTTGACTTACTTTGAGCCCGACACCGCATGTGTACTCGAAGAAGAACAAGTCCAGTGAACGGAATTTTCATACAAAATGTCCGCTGAACATAAACATGTTTCTGAGGTGTATGGCACTAGCGTTTGCAAAAGTTCTCAAACTGGGACAGAAACCTCTGAGTACCAATGCAACTACTGACAACGGTAACCACCCTGAAATGCGGCTGACAGAAACAAAGGCGAAGGATCAAAGCTGTTTTGCTGAACTTGACCTTGCCATCGTAATTTTCTGGGCCTACCAAACTCACTAAGTGCAAACCCCTTAGACAATCACGTTCAGCAATTTCTTTTGTCACCAAGCTGGTCTACTTTATGCAAGTATTACGACCATGAACTTCGAGAAAACATAGAGTTGTCGACAGTGGATTGTCTTGAGTCTGTTTTGGTGCGCACCAAGCACGGCTACAAGACGGAAGTCAGGTGCTACAAGCACGTTCAAGCCAAATTCATCTGTAATCCAGTTATTGATGGCCAGCTGGCACATTTTTGCAGGTACGACATACATCATTAAGGCACTTGCATGCTACATTGGAAGCAGGTTGTCAATTTGTCAATGGATTCACAGGCAAATTAGTGGCTCGTGGTCGAACAGTCAATTATTCTAACTGTCGAGTTGGAGGTCGCGAATTCGAAAACTCCTAAGGTTTCAAGGTACCGTAAATGATTTATAAGAACCAGGAAACGACGGATGTACAATGCTTTACAACTTTTTCAGCTCTAAAGGTCTCGCAAACAAGACGAACTTTCAATGAAAAATCCACAGACCTCACATTATCAAAAGTCAGCGTAGGGGCTGACAGATATCAGCTATCAGCCAAAGGTTGTGACGGCTCAGACTAGATTCCACGCGCACACGTGCGACAAAGACTGGGCCACGCAGTACCTAAGCCGTCACAGTGATACTTTGGCAGGCAAGAGGACATAGATTCGGGTATCATCTTCGGTGCTTGCCTTTTCATTCACAACACTTGTTCGAAGATCTCCGTTCTAAGTGGGAAGTAAGGATTTCTTGAAGGAACTTGAAGAAACGGTTTTCATCTCGAAGCCCTTTCCCTAATCCACGGATGAGTCCATCTAAAACATCCGGGTCCCAAATACTCGTGAGTCAAATGCAACGCGCATAAAAATTGGAAGTGCATAGAAAAATTCAGACCCTCATTCGGACCCTGAAACGGCTGATTCACGGCACCTGTCAACGAGTGGATTATTTTCCTGTTGATAGTATGGGGAGATTTGGGGATATTTATTGGAGATTTGGTCTGTGAGTGTAAGCAACTATGCTGGAAAGCTGGAAAGCACTATGAAGCCATTTCATTCTCACTGGGAAATGGCACTAAACTCGGAAAGGTTTCGAATCACGATCTCTCGGCACCGAGAACAATCAACCGTTTGGCCAGGGCGTCTGGTCAGCGGTTCTCTGAAGCACATCAAAGCTAATGCGGTGGAAGTATATCTGAATCCAATGTTCCATTACTACACTCTTCGTGGAAGTTGCATTTACATCTAAGTGCTTTTCATGCAGCCAAGCATAGGATCCCAGTTATCTCTTCTCTAGGTCAGTGTCAACCAAGGCTGGAGAACGGACACTTTTGCATTCCATTCATTCAAACAGAAAATATGCGATAACTACATCGTTTCTGACTATTAGGCGCATGAATGTTCCTTGCCCGAAGAGAGCCAGAAGGAAGCCTAATCGTCCAACATGGGTCTTTCAGCACTCAATTATCATTTCAAGGTTTCTATGTCGATGCCGACCATGAATGCCTACCGTGTAGTGACAGCTGAGACGGTTCTATGCAGACTGAATGAGGCCTCTTCCAAATTCGTCAGAAACCACCACTAGTCAAAATAAGACTAAGGTAACAGTTGTCTAAGAAAACGTCGCAGAGTTGCTTATGCCTAGCGCGCACATTTTAAGCACTATGAGTAACTGAGAATATTAGCCGTGCTACTGGTTCGCAACCACTACCAATGAACGAGCCAGAAAGCGCCATATCTAGCAGTCTTTCTAGTATGACTCGATAAGTTAGCAGAAATGACAATTGTACCGGCCACTTTTTGTGACTATTGTGTTACAACTGCGGCCCGAAATCCAGGGACAGTGAAAATGTGAACCACAATAGTCCACCGTAGGCTTCGTAGTAACGATGATCTAGAAGGACTGTATGCCTTTCTTTTGTGCAGTGTGAACCGCTGATGATTTCCAATGAAGATGAAACAGCTGTGCGGTATTCCTCGACTTCTCCTGTATAGATTAACCTCACTAACAGAATGGAACCACAGTTGAAGCTCACCGAATCTCTTCACTTTAGTTTACTACCTGTGTCACATTTCTCCTTTGTATACATCTGCTCTGAACTAAGGCAAGTAGACTGAGTATAGGGGGGGCACGCTAATTGACCCCAAGGTCACGTTTACCACATGGAATGATTACTCAATGAACGCTTGTTATTCGTCTCTTAACTAATTAATCTTCTCACGAATGGTCTGCATTTTTCATTCACAACCACGTCACAGCACTGTCGAACAGGCTGCACCTGAATTTTTACGTCATTAGAAATTCGAATTATTCGCGTTCCTAGCCCGTTTCTTATTATAGTCATCTTTTGGAGTATACTGACTTTGTTAATTTCGTTGATCATTTTTGTGCAGCGTTACTTACAGCTACACGGAAGCTAGAAGGACTAACCGTAACCACGAGACATTTTTGGTCTTAATCATCCTCGGTCAGGTGAGTCTTCATTTCCGCATGGGCACTAAACAGTGTAGCGAAATCCATCCTAACCTCACTGAGTAATTAGGGGTGCCCAAAATGGGGCTTTCGTACTAAAGCTGTTTACAGTTGGTTCTTTTCCTGAACTTATAACGCTGATTCAAGTGGTAGGTAAAATCATCCCACGCAGCTGCATGCGGTTTTGTAAGCAGGCGGGGTAAGCATGCGTTCATCCGCTCCCATTTGAGCTTTGAGTGTCAGAAATGTATACCTTCGTACAAATATCTTCGGTGATAATATGATCGTTCTGAAAGAGTGAATGTCCAAAACCAACAGACTTACATTTCTAACGTTGTTCACCTGTACCAAACGATTTGAAACAACATCCAGAATTGTACAGGTTAGGGAAATATCTTGGCTGTACTATGAGATCGCCGACAGAACTTGAGAACTTTCTTCCACTGTGGGTGCAGTTGATGGGCTTGTTGGGTTGATAAAACCACAGGCAGGTGTGTTCGGTGCAAAATAACTGACGTCAGTGTGTGTTTAATTATTGTGCGCTTGTGACTTGGTCACGTGGCCGAACAAGTTGATAGTATTTGTAATTATGACAACAGTTAAAGCGATGAACTGACTAGACCATTTGAAGACAATTCTTACCCTTCAACGAGAACACTCTCAGCAGAGACTACCCGGCGGAGTACACCGATGTCAATTGGTTGCTTGAAGCTCTGATTTAATTTTACGATTGTGGAGAGGGTAATACTTAGCTTAGATTACTGACTAACTTTGCGGAATTATGAAATGTTTCTCAGAAAAGACTAATAGGTCGTTCAATTTGCCTTCCCAATGTGTGGTTGCGACTTCAGTAACCGTTCCTGGGATAATGCAAATCAAACGGGAAACTTCTGCGTGCCCACGAATTAGTTTTTTTTTCGCCTAAGCATTATGTATGGGAGCAACATTGTATCAAATCCGGCCATTAGTTATACTCAGTATCTCATTCCTTCTGACCTCATCCAGAGTTTTCATCATCTTTTTTACTTCAGAGGGTGCAATGAGACAGGTCAGCGGAGTACAAACCAGGAGAATTGACCATTGTGGAATGTAGGTAGCTCGGATGCGTTGCTTGTTTGTTGGTCTATTCGCCGAGCTTGGCAGTTGGATTGCAAACGTTTCATCACCAATCGAGGTGCAGGGTTAAGTGGGACCTCGATTGGTGATGAAACGTTTGCAATCCAACTGCCAAGCTCGGCGAATAGACCAACAAACAAGCAACGCATCCGAGCTACCTACATTCCACAATGGTCAATTCTCCTGGTTTGTACTCCGCTGACCTGTCTCATTGCACCCTCTGAAGTAACATGAATCTTTTATATTGCAGTGATAATTGCAAGACTTTCTAAACAAATGGCGTTGAACTTTGCTCTTGGAAGTAAATCTGGTTTTTAGTTGTCTATATTTAGTTTTAATGGTTTCATCCTGGCGGCGCCAACTGTAGGAAAATAGACCATCCTAGATTCTTTACTTGGACTGATTACATAAAGTCAATCGGTAGGAGGGACCTTACGTATCATACGGTGAAGCATTCGTTTTGTAAGCTCTTTTATCCCCAAATTTGAACATAGGCATGTGCTTCTGGTGAATTCCTTTCGTGTGGAATGAATCAGGCCAGCTGGGGACCGCTGACTGTCCGAAAATTGTCTAGGTCCACCATGAGTGTGGATACAGCGCAGAAGCCACCACCCGACGATTTGGTGCATTGAACGTCAGTGTTTGAAAAGCGTTGGAATCGTTGAATTCGTGGTTCCCATTAAAAAATTTTAGCGTGACGTAAGAGCTTAAATATCTTTGATACATGCATTAGTTTCCCGTACACTTGTACCGTCAGTTTTACACTCTAATTCGATAGGTCTGTCAGAAGATGAAAGTCTTTGTTTGCATAAACTTCAAGGGACAACCGCGGTTACTGGTTCCGTGTGCGTGATGCTCGTCATAGAATTAACAGTACACTACTTTGTAAATCGTACTAAATTATTTTTCCTATGATGAGGAATAATTCAGCTCACCGATGACTGTCCCGAACAAAAAGAATTTCGACTATAAAACTTAATGAGTTTGGTGTATTCTGCCTAACTGTTTGAGGAGTGAACACAAAACAATCGCTGCTGGAGACACTTTCTAAAATTCGAACAATGTGAAATCCCAGTAAAGGTACCACGACAGTGATCGTAAAATAATTGACAATCGCGTGTCCCGAAGCTGGTTAATTCAATCCTATGTACTCTATTCTGGAAAGATGACCTCAACCAGTAGCTCTCCTACCCGTCCCCGAATCCCTACTCATGGTTGTTTTCATTCCACTCTAGGTGCCTGACTCAAGAGCAGCAAGGGACACTCAGCCAAAGGTACAGAAGGGCATAAAACATTACGAAGAGGATAAGGCGGACGGGAAATGATTATGAGCATGCCTGACATCCGACGAGCAAACGATAATTTGTGCAATGCATAGTGAAATGCTCATTAAATAGTCGGTGATCGGTTTGATAGGGCTGACTTCTAGAAGAAGAAACTTACGAAGGCATAAAAACTGCAGTTTGACCTTTATTTCTCCGCAACATCCGGGGAAACTAGATACGCATAAACCAGTTTATCGTAAATCGATTTACTAGCATTGTCCACTGAATCTTAGTTCAGTGGTAATTTCAGTTGATTATTAGCAAAGGTCATGTTTACGAAGCAGTCCTTTCACATCAGAATGGACTCGTTTAGTTTAAAATGATTACTATATGTAGTTTGGAAAAACCGAAACAAAAGGAAGTTATAGGACTAAATTGGAACACTAGTTTGGACAAAAAAGTTAGTAATGTTTCAAAATTGTACTGGTTCTGTATATCCGATATCAGAGTACAAACTGAGAAGTGCTGGGCATCTGGGGTGTGGCTACCAACAACAACACACCTTGAGTGCTTAGCTGCCATGCATTCTGAATGGGACTTGAGGGCTGATATAGTGCCGGGTTGCCCAAGCCTAGATAGGAGCAGTTAAGTTGCTGAGGGTGGGTTCGAATCAAGTAACTTTCAGTCAGCAAATTCATGTAACCAGTGAGTTATTTCGGGATCCATCACTAGGATCAATACGAGTTAACTATGCCTTGAACAAACAAAACGATCTGTTATCTAAATTATTAAAATATCAAGAGTAGCAATCAGTTTCCGGTTTAGAGAGAATTACGTCGTTTGTTCCAGCTCGATTGTGTTATTTGTTGTTTTGTAGAAAGTGTTTATTCAAAATTTCTTAGTCTATCAGAGATGACAGTAGCGAAAATTGAGTCCAGCGTTCTATTGGCTTTACAGATAAAGTGATTCAGTTTGATAGTGGTGTTTAGTGAAACTTTCTTTGCTTGGGGAGATCAAATTAATTTCTGCACCGCAAGATGCTCATGATTCAAGGTTATTTGGACAAAATAACCAAGTCTTTCTCCTCGTAACATTAAATTACACCGGATAGCATCGGTCGTAAATAGCTCCACACGTCTATAATGATAACGGATGGTGTTAATATCGTAGACAAGGGGGGGTCGTTTATCTGGTCGGCCAGCTTGCCGATTTGCTTGCTATCTTCCGTGTGTGCGCATTCCAATATCCTCACGATTGGTCACGAAACATTTGCGTGCAAATTGCCCAGCTGGACAAGCAGATTATCAGCCACCTCATCCACAGCCAATTAACGCACCCGAGTTGCCAATATTTCAACAGATTGCCTATGAACTGTTCTTTTTCACCAAGCGAAAAAAGAGCAGCTGCAACCTACCTCGTTTCAGTTCAGGTGAGACATCGGGCAATCGGTGTATCGATGTGCAATTCCAACGTCGATCAGCAAAAGCCTTTGGACAATGATAACCAACAGCATGGGCTGCACGGAGTACAGCCAACATTGCGTAGCCAAAACGGGGATGGTTGCAGAATCGGGTTTGACGCCGTCGAAGACCGAGTTCAGTTGAAGCTGTGTGGCATTCCGCACTGGTGAACCTATCGGCTGTTGTGTCAGGCGGATGATCTGCACTCCTTGGAAGACGATAGATTCCCCTGAACATGTGGGAAGGAAAATTGGCGTGAACATGAGTAGTCCCTAAAACCGTGGTATCACAACTGTTCACCAATGATATCTGATCTGCGTAAACTACCAATTTATACATTCCTCACAATAAATTCTGCCAGAGAAACTAAGACATATGCCTGGTTCCTAATGGGACGATCAAAATAGACTAATCAACTGCAGTCCCAACTCTTCTCTACCGAATAATAAGTGTTTGCTAAAAAGTAGGCGGAACGTCGACTTATACTCTCTTAAAAGGACTATGGTATGCAAGACACTATGCAAATATAATATACCGTGGTGTGCTATGCTATGCTTTACTGCACCATGCCATGCTCTAATAGAGTAAACTATAATACAAAATCTTATACTATGACTTACCAAGCCTCACCATACTATACTATACTCAAAACATGCTATTCGATACCATACCGTACTAAGCTACGGCATGGCGTTTCACACTATTAAACATTACTATTCTTGCCTGAGATCAGCTGGAATAAAAGGAAATATTTGCTGACGATCCAATCCAACTTCTTCTAGAAACGATAAACATGTCCTAGCCTGATATTAACGAGTTGAAAAGGTAAAATATTTACACTTTATCTGGGACTTAGACAAAGTCTCATGTGCACAACGCTGCGCTCAAATGGCTTGTCACGACATTTTATCGACGTTCGATGTGTTGCTCATTGTTAAAGGGTAGATTTTTAGATACACTGACACTTTTCCAGTGTGCTCCTGAAGGAAAACACTTGTCGGATTTCGCACAGTCTTTCCTGCTTCCCTGTTGAGAGCATTTGTACAACTACATAAAGATTTTTAGGGTTCATGAACCCTCAGACTTTTCTTCCAGCAGGTAGATAGGGCCCTGTTTGATACGCGTAGACGTTTTCCTCTTACATGGTACCGATCAAGCTCCATGCAGTTTATTCGTTGCAACACTCCTCCTTTGCTGTTCCAATTTTCGGTTGGTAAATCCATGTTTTCGAAGGAACATCCGGATGTCACTGAAATTCCTTTCGGTTGTCGTATTCCGGTATGTTTTCATGTACGAAGAGGGATTCTATTGTCACAGCCGCTATCAGAGATTCCTTCGTTCATTTGTACAACTACATAAAGATTTTTAGGGTTCATGAACCCTCAGACTTTTCTTCCAGCAGGTAGATAGGGCCCTGTTTGATACGCGTAGACGTTTTCCTCTTACATGGTACCGATCAAGCTCCATGCAGTTTATTCGTTGCAACACTCCTCCTTTGCTGTTCCAATTTTCGGTTGGTAAATCCATGTTTTCGAAGGAACATCCGGATGTCACTGAAATTCCTTTCGGTTGTCGTATTCCGGTATGTTTTCATGTACGAAGAGGGATTCTATTGTCACAGCCGCTATCAGAGATTCCTTCGTTCAAACTTAATTGGGTGTTTTTTTTTTTTTTTCATATTGGTAAATTTCCCCTCCTTATTTGCTTTGTGCAGCTCCGAAATGCGCCCCTTTGCTCACAAAAAGGGTTTGCATGCAACGTTTCCTGTGTTTAAATTAGAAGTTAATATGGTCATCTACAGAATAGTGTGCGTGTATTTCTTCGATGTATATAAATTCCAAGAGTCTTTCTTACTGATACACCCCATTCTACTTTGGTCATAAAACTGATTTCTGCAAGTTTCATACTGGTCGCTTTCCACTCTAGTCCATTCTTTGGTGGCGATAATGTCACCTACATAAAATATGCATAAGTTGAATTTCGTAAGGCCTTCTGGATGGGAAATGACAGCGAGGTCTTTCGACCGAAAAACAGGAATTGGTCTGTAAACTAGCAGAAAAAGCACAAGAACTCCAAGTCTCTAGAAGTCCAAACGTTACCCAGACACAATCCAAACAGGAGGCACACTGTTCAACAAGATGCTCACCAACCTACCTGTAACGAGCAACCAGGTTTGATTTGAGCGAAAATATTTGATTAACACACTCCATACACTTTTACAAGACAATGTCATTCAGAATAATGTTGAATCACCCAACAAACCAGTGGTCACCCCCACAACCTGAACAGCCAATTTTTCCCTCAATTGCAAACTAATTGAGCTCCAATGCTATTCTTCAGAGGATAACAGAAATTCGCAAATTTCTTTAACTGCTTCAACACAGAAAATTTCAGATATAGTAGAATTGGACACGGAGTCTGTTAGCTACTCAGAATAATTGAAACACACATGACAACCAGTCAGTATTCTTCGCTTCGTCAAGTACTTCAGAGCCCAACACCAAAATGACCACCGCAAGAGTATGTCAGGAGCCAGCTTGAATGCACATAGTGCCCTTGCAACCATTCACAGGGTTGCTGGAAGCTTTTCAACAGTTTAAAACCGATTCCATCCTCCTCGAGTTTTCGGAAACTTTATGTTCAACATTTACCCATATTGGACGCGATTCGCGATATACACTCATTTGCGAATTAATTCGGTTCCAGCGGCAGACTCAACTGAACATTCTTGAATCATTCGCACATGCTGTTCTTCTTCGGTTCAATGTGTTGCACAAGGCTGCCTCATGTTTCGGTTGGTACAAGCCTAGTACGTAGTACATTGCCAAGATGGAACATACTACTCATAAAGTTGTTAGGAGGGCTTCGACATCCCACAATCGTTTTTCCCTTACCGACTCTCATCGGGTTGGCGCAATCCCATGAAGTCCATCAACCTTGCGTTCTACACAGTTTCTATTTTTCCTAGGAAGAGTAGCCAAATAATGCATAGCTGAACTAACGAGTGGTTAGGTTGCTTCACAAAGAAGCAAACATTCCAATGTCAGACCCAGTTTGAATCCCACTAATGAACTACTAAATTTTGTTTGATTTAGTTTAGTTTAATTTAGTCAAAAAATCACTGAGTACTACGCAGTGACCAGCGAACTGTCTCAAGGATACCGAGGATCAGATGACGGTTGTCATGCAAAATACTCGAACCCGTCATCATTAATCATTCCAGGTAGTTCCACACACTTCTCAGGCGTATGTTGCGTGAACTTTCATAAACCTGGACATCCGAACTACATACGCATAATACCATTAATTTGTACCATATGAAGCAGGCTGGCAGAAGCGAAAAAGTTCCCACCAAATACCTCCACGACATTTGCTCCGTTATTGACGTCAAGTTGTTGATTGATGATTGCCTATGAACGCTGGCAATTATAAATTTACCGTGGCATTCCGAACGTTAACCTTTCTGGTTTTGTACAACGAGAAGTATAGTAACACTTTCCAGACGCTGCTAGTCCTTACTTAGTTGCTTGTTCGGGAAACGATGGGGTTATTTTTTATATAATGTTTCGAATTGTCTAACTGATATTTCTAGTTTCTGTTGACTCGCATAAACGGCTAATTTGAAGGAAAACACCTGAATATCCTACAACTCCATAAGATGCTTGGGAGAACGCAGTCTTTAAGAAATCGTTGAAATGCATTACACTCTAGTATGAGTTTTGTATTGGACTTCACTGCACAGTTCGTTATGAAAAATTTATTCCAAGTGTAATATCGTTACACTCAGTAAGTGGTCGCATAGCGAATCTCTAAGGTGCCGAAAAGGGCCCAAACTTTGTAGAACGTTTCGTCACCTATTCGGCCAACCAGAACACCAAAGTCCATGGATAAAAGTTTGGGGATTTCGCAGAATACGCTTCATTTTGCTACTGTCGAAATTACGACAAGGCGCCTTGCTCGGATCTAGAAAACACACAAGCCTGTCTTCTATGGTGATCCTCTAGGGTTGATCTCGGGGTAAACTGTGAGCTCCGCCCAGGCGGTTTGTTTAACCAAATAGCATTTGTGTTTACATATTTCTCATCTTTTGTCGGTAGGGTTGTTCGAGTGTTAGTTGCCTGACGAAAAATTTTACTTGCGTTCCAAGCGACCCAACTAGCAAACATAACAAAGTGTGCGCGACTGGTTGTTGTCGGTTGTCAGCCAAGTATTCACACTTGTGTATGCAGCCTAATTTGCAACAGATCGAGTAAATTTTGCCGGCTTCTGGCCACATTGTTCCCTAATTTCTGTTCAGTTTAGCAAAATTCTGCATCCGGTACGCAGTGCTTTGAAAACAGCAGCTCATTAGTTCGATAAACAGCTGTATAAGTCCTATGGGTACATTGCGAAACAACTCCAACTGTTCGGGGCCGCAATGCGCTGGCCGTGATTCGCTCCCCAGATGGAACGAAGCAGTTATTTTGCGGCACACAAAGAGAGCCAAGAATGCACGCATGCAGCCACACACACACACACACTCAACACCGAGCGCCTTCGCTAAATTTCCGATAACTATGTAGCGCCACAAATGGCGACAAATTAGCACCATGCGACCAGATGGTTACTTCGGTTAACGGCTGTTAATAATCTTCGGCATGATTGTAGGCCACTGCTTTCGTTGACTGTGTGTGGTCAATGTTCGCCCCGTCGTTGTATGATCACACAGCCGGTTCTCACAGATAACAAAAAAATCACGCGATATTCAATGCGGTTACACCGATGCATCACTGTGACACGTTTTCTGTCTGACTATGGCCAGACGTGGTTGTTTTCGGCTAAATTAAGGGCTATACACGCCATACAGTTTCATAATCACAGAAAAACACGAATCTTAATCCATAGGTCACCGTGCAAGGTCGCCGCAAGGCTGAAAAGCATCTTGTTGGCAAAATTCAAAGTGGAACTGAACCAAAAGCCTGTACAGTACATAACGAGGTATCTATATACAAATATATGTAAACATGTCAACCCCGATAGAAGAGTCATTGAGTGCCGAACATCTGCAAAGGTAAAACACAAACATGATGAGGAGTGACAAGCCTTTCGATGACGAGCTGTACCATGTGAAGCCATCTGCTTCCCTGAACTGATTGCCCGAATTTCAGATAGTAACCAGGCGTGCTGGTATCACAGGAAAAAATTTTGAAATCATTAGACCATCAAACATCTCGCGACTACTTACCAGTCAGATCGAAATGCTCGTTACTACAGATTCTGCTCCACAGCAAAGACTCGTTGTTACAAATTGTTTTGTGAAAGCAATTCATGCTTTTTACTCGATTTCGACCAAACAAACC